CCAGAGTGTTACTGCCACTGTACTTTCCCAAGGGAGCTGTTCCAGTGCATGGCTATCCTGCCTTTCTGGTAGAACTGTCCATGGGGAGCTGCAATGAGCTGTGTTATATCTTGATCTACTGCGAGATCTGAAAAGATGTGAGCGTTTGATTTCTCGGAAGGTGAAAGTAATTTCTCGTAATACGAGCGCAGGTTGTTATTGCTGCAGTTATTGGAATGAGAGTTTTCTCCCTGCCTGGCTCTTCTTTAGATGCCTTGACTAGCAAAGTCTTTTATCCTCCTCTGCTTGATGCAGGGCTTGGGCCAGATTTTTCCTTCTGTCTTTTACCAGAGGAAATAAAGAGTGACCATGTTGATGGAGCCAGTGAAGCTCCCCTGGGTTTGCTGTCACACATGACAGCAGCACAGTGGTGCTGTGCTGCTAAGTGGGAGTTGTGCTTGGGAGATAACTCCATCACTATCTCTATCATAAAATGAAAAGTTAAGGCTATAATGCAAGGTCTCTTATAATCACACTCTAATTATGCTTTGTAAAAGGCTTTGCAAGCTTTTATTTTTTAAGTGAGCACTGCAGCCAGAGCAGTGTTTCTGGCAGTGAATCACACAAATGGTTTGGGAGGTTTAGTGCAATGTCTCAAGCATCCCTGTGTCATACTGTGTCTGTCCCAAGGACATAGCCCAAAATGTAACCTCACTGAGGAAACAAACAGGGAGGGGTTCTGCCCTTTAATTTACCTGCCCAAGTCAGCAGCCTCATCCCCAAGGCTTCCTCTGTAGTCTATGGAAAGGGAAAAGTCCCTCAAGAACACTGTTCGATACTCTGTGTTAGGCTACAACTGCATTGCCCCCAGGAGAAGCTTTTCTTTCTGAGAACCCTGCCCTCTGCCAGGTGCCTGGGAATGCATCTGGGACATGAGGCTTTCTTTTGGGTGATGTCTCTACAACACAGAGGTCTCAATCCTGCCAAAATCATGCATTCACATCCCTGTGCCATTTGTAAAGTTTGTTTATATGGCTGACATAAAGGTGATCTAAAGCCCACAAACATTTGGATAGGTTTTTCAGATCTTGTGCCCTTGGTGGATACAGTGTAGGCCTAGGCTTTATCCCTGCTGGCTCCAATCCCAGCAGGGAATGCAGTGACTCTGGAAGGTATACTTGGCTTTTGCTGTACAGTGTGGCTCAGAATTGGTTTGGGGGTTTATATGTATACATGGAAAGTTGTTGAGAAATTTGAAGTAACATTGCAGTGGGTGCTTTTGCTTTGTCCGTGTCTTGCTTGAGTGATGTAAAGGTGACAAAAGCCCTAAGGGCTGATGCTTGTATAGTTTTGCTTGTGTGTTTTTCTTTTCACACCAGGCTTTGAGAATGATGTGCCTTTGGTGGGTGATAGGAAGGTGGAAGAGAGATGTACAAAGCAACTGCTATCTCTTGACAGTCTCTGGCATTTGTCTTCTGCAGTCCTGCCTGTAGAAAGCTGGCCAGATATGTTAAAGGCATTGTAGAGTGAATTAGTTTAGTAATGTTTAGCAAAAAGTCATTGTGCAAGAACTGGCTTTCTTTGCATCTGGGGAGAAATTAATTCTGTGCACTGTGGTTGCTCCTTGCTCCCACTTGAATAATGACATGCAAAATTTGGATTCCATGCAGGTGTCAGTTACAGTGAACTCTTGAGGGAGTTTGTGTCAGTAAGAGCAATGGCTTCAGTGTCTTGTCTCGACTGTGCAGATTGTGTTAGGACATGGAGTGAAGGTTGGAAGTTCCCTTGCTGCATCTGTCAGTGACACTGTCAGCTTCTGCATGTCCTGCCTGTGGTGACCAAGGAGGACATGCAAGCTGAGACTGAAAAATAGAATGAAAGTGTTGAACTTCACCCTCCTATCAGCACAGCCTCCTCCAGATAAGGAGCTGTAATCTCTGCTCAGGGGCCTGGTCTGGACAGCACTTTCACACTTGTCCATTCCTATGGCCATATCTGTTCCCTTTCCACTGGCAGCGGAGGGGAGGCTCAGGCTCTGGAGGCTTCAAGCCACCTTTGCAGCACACTGGGCTCATCCAGGAGCAGGTGTGTGTGACATGAGCTGGACCTGGTTTAGACCTGCCTTAGGGAAGAGCCACTAAGGCTTCTCTCCTTCTAGGGCAGTCCAGAGCCTCAGTGACCCTCCCCTGCCTCAGCCAACTCCAGGTGCTGCCACCAGCCCGTTTGAGCCCCAGTTCTGACCAGAAAATGCAGGCTCAAGGAACTGTACCTGGCCAGAGGGCAGAATATTTGTTGCTATCCTCAGTTAAGGTCCTCTCCTCTTTGCAACTTGAACATCTGATCAGACCACAAGACTGTGTCTGTAAAAGCACAGCTCTTCTCTGAAAGAGACTGCAAGTGTTTCATGCTTGTCTCTCAGGGACTTGGTGGCAACTGTGCGTGGCTTGCCAGTAGAAAGAAACTTTTTTTTTCCCCCTACGTGCCTCTCCTCCAGATGCAGCCTGAACTCAGAGACCTGAGCTGTAGTCTTTTCATCACCCTCTGATCAGAGGGTTTGATAGAAAAGCTGAGTGTGCAGCAGCACCTGTGAGCTGGGCCCCAACAGTGTGCACAGAGGGACATCCAGGGAGTTCTCTTGGTAGGGCTGCTCATGCATGAGCTGGAACTGAGCCCAGATGCTGCCCTCCAGCATTATTTTGAACAAAAAAGTCACACTCTTCTACATGGTGCAGCTGTGCCCTTACTTAGTGCTGCCTTTATTGCCTCAGGTAGAGCCTGCTGGAGGGACCTGGGGACTCAGCAGTGCTCAAGGCCGATGGGGCAAAGAGCTCTTTATGCTTGCTATTGTTATCTTTCATTTAGCAGGTGGAAAAGAAGAATTAAAACAGGTAAAGTGAAGAGTTGCAAAAAAAAAAAATTCTCAGGTGATGGTTTAGCAGAGAATGTAGAAATGCATGATTCATCTAGATACTCCTGCTTTTCTAAGCAATAAATGGTGCCGCTTTCCTAACTGCACTGTTCTCAGCTGTGTATTTTGTGATAACAACTACTGACAAAGGAGGATTCAGCCAGCACTGCTGGCCTCTGTCCACCTGAGCTCAGACTCCTGATCCCCTTCCATCTTCTTGAGCCCTCCCTTGTGTGCAAGAAGGAAAGGAAGGCCAAGGTCTGGACGTGCTGTGAGTGGACTCAGATCCTTGGCTAGGTTTTGACTCCACACACAAGCAAAACTTCAGTGAACCCCACCTCTCCTAATGTGCCTGGGATTCAGGTTTCTGCTGAGGTTCTGGTCAAGGTCTCGCTTCCTCTTCCTTCTTTGGGATGTGAGGGTGTCCAGGCTTGCAGTCAGACCTCCACCTTCTTTGGCAGACCTGTCAGAGGAGAGAGAAGCAGGGAAGGTCACTGGTTTCTATGTACTCTCAACAGCTCATGATCTTGTATATTTCTTAGAGCAAATAATTTGGATCAGGGCTCATTCCAACCACAGCAGGCACTAAGCAGAGCTTGGGGCCAGGGAGGAGGCTCACAAGCCTGCTCATTCAGACTTCCAGCAGACAAGCCAGTGCTCAAGATCCTACCAAACCCAGGTCTAGGGGCTTGTGCTGTCCTGTAGAAAGCAGTGAGCTTCATGTAGGACCAAGGGCTGAGTGCTGTGAATGGGGTCAGGCCATCTCTCCAGACAGTGCCTGTTCAATCAGTGACTAAGAACAAACTCTTGAGAGGCAGCTCCAGAGCCAGACTTCTTAGAATTTGTACCCTTGGACTTGTTCTCTTAAGCATCCTCATGTAAGGCTCTGTTAGCTGTAGATTTTGGTCTCAGGATTAGCTTTGGTATTTGACAGTATAGGAGCTCCAAAGGAAGCTTTGCCCTTGACTGGTGCATTTACAACTCACCACCACCACTTTATCTCCCACCTCCTTCCTTTTTGGAGGAAGCCTCCAAAGAGTAGAGTTTAGAGAGCTGCAGACATTCTCTTTTGATTCAGATTAAACTGGGAAAGGGAGATACAGGTACCAGCATAGTCCATGCCTGGAGCAATTCAGTTCCTTTGGACAAAAGCCTCCGAAAGCTGAGGAATAGGCCAGGTAAAAAAATGTGTTCTATAGATATTCTAGAACCAGTTATGCTCCCAAATGTCTGCTGGGTCCTGAACTCTTGGAGCTGATGAAAACAATAGCAACCTGCCGTGCCTGATTCTTTCTCATTTCAGCCTTGCAGGTAGAGGAGAATCCATAACAAGATAAAGCAAAAAGAGGAGACAAGTTTTCTTTCCCTGTCCAGGAAAAAGAACCTGTTGGATTATAACCCGCTAACAGTGGAGAGTGCCAACATGAGCAGCGACGGGGCAGAGAATCCCATCTCATCCACACTGACCCAGGGCCTGAAGAGAAAGAGGGGGAGACCAAAGAAGCAGCCACAGGTGAGAGAACATCATCCCAAGAGGATGCCATGGCAGTAGCCTGCTGGGATCTGCAGGCAGCCCTGGGAAGCTGCTTGCTAACAAGGACAAGGGGAGGAGAGGTGTTCTGGGGTAAATGCTGGGGCTACCCAGGACAGCAGCAGGATCTGCACCCTGGGAAATCTCAGCTCCTGGCTTCAGAGGCGCCTCTGATGTGACAGGCAGTGACAGTTCAGCCAGGACATGTGTGAGAGGGGCTGGCCAGGTCTCTGTTCTAGCCTGGGGACTTTCATGTGTCATCACCCTCTGTTTCTGCACCAGTAATTGGATAGAACAGGTGAGGCCCCTTGGCCAGAGTTCTTGGAACTTACTCATTTCCCCAGCCCAAAAGACAAAAAGAGGTAGGAATATTGCTGATCATCTTCTAATGCACTTCCCAGCTGGAAAAGCAGAGACAACCAGCTATTTAGGGGTCTGGGTGTTCTTAGTGGGGTAAGGCAGTTCAAGACCAATCAGAATGAGAAAACAAATTGTTTCAGGGATCATCCTGCTTAAATTGTTTTCTCCTTTTATCCCAGGAGGATGGTGGAAACACAGCTATTATCCCACAGGATGCTGTGGAACCACAGCCAGTGAAGAAACCACGAGGAAGGCCAAAAGGAAGCAAGAAAATTACTGTTCTAACTGGAGGAACGGTGAGAGGAAATGGGTTATACTCATTTACAGAGGAGAGAAGCACTGCCAGAGAGACCAGCAGGGATGTTTCTCTTAGCTTAAAAATAGTGAAAGTTGCCCCTAATTCAGCTCAGCTTTAATTACCACCGTTGGACAAATCAGTTACTGTGGTTTTAGTCCTTACTCACCTCCCAGCCTTCCTGTGTTGCCACTGCCTGTTCAGCAGTTTCCTCCCAGTGTTTCTCCTCCACCACTGCCAAATAATCACAACCAGTGCAGTCAGGCAGGTGTTTCCTCCTCAACTGTCTTCTATCCTCAGCTTTTGCTTTTTCTGCTACTTGTGAGACAAAACCTTTTCTACAGAGGTCACCTTGGCCATGTTCAGTGGTTTAGTCACAGTGCCCAGCAAATCTGAGAGCTGACAATATTTCCCCTTTGTTTTCAATAAAGGCAGAGCCTTCTGCTGGGAAGAGGCGAAGAGGGAGGCCCCGCAAGTGGGTGAGTACGGTGTTCAGTCCTTTCCCTCTTCTCCAGGCACAGATCCTGGGGAGGAACTTGCAGCTGTGTTTGCCCTTCTCAGACTCTGTGTCTGCCACAACATTCTTTGAGCTTTGGTAGCCTGGAAATAATTAGGGAAGCTCTGACTGCCTTCCTGATGGCCTCCAAGATTCAGCTACTGAAGAATTCTGAGAGCCCAGGGGAGATGCTGTACTTAATTCAAGACATACCAGACTTCCACAGTATAGCACTTTCTCAGGCTTGGAATGTCAGACCAGAGATTCCATCCTTTCTTAGAGAGGGGTTGTCTTCCCAGGAGACTTGAAAGACTGAAGCAATTGCTTAGCATGTCAGTTTGTCTCAAAAGAAGAAACTTAATATTAAGCGAAAAGAGAAATTTGATGAATGGAGAAACTTTGAGTCCTGTCAGCAAGAGACTCTTTCATGCAACAAACAAAGGATTAGTAAGAGTTAGTAGCTAAGAAGAAAACATTTCAGGTGTAAAAACAAGACAAAAATTATTTTAATCAATAAAGATATTCAGTCCTGTGAACTACTCATGGTGTTACCTGTCATTAGGAGTGATTAAAAACCTCCACAGCAGCCACAAACCATTATTTAGTGTGCATCACATTGCTAGATCCAAACCCAAGCTGTGCACTTGCTGCAGGAATCCATAGGTTTGTTGTACAGCTGTGGTGGCACAGGAGTGCTCAGGAGGGAAAGGAACGCTTCTGGCTCTGCAGAACCAGAGGGACAGAGCAGCCTGAGAGGGCCATGCAAAAGGCTTGGAGGGAAAGGTTCACCAGCCAGGAAGTGCCAGGATATGGGAGAGAACAGAAGTCTTTTCTGATGTGACAGTGACCTTGCATGCAGATATTTCCTGGATAGTGGAAAGCTGTTTGCAAACCCTGTGCAGAAGGTCCCAGAAAAGGGAACTGTTGCATAAATCTGAATGTTCCTTCTCTGCAGTCCAAGTAGACTGTTACTAGAGAAGGTAACAGTCAAAGCCCATTGCTTTCCCCAAGCCCATTTACCTTATGTCATTTAAATACACTGATTAGGGAAGCCTGTGTTACCAGTGCTTAAAGCAACCAGCTGTGCAAACTGGGATCCTCAAGCTCTGTGGAAAATCATCAGAGGCAGAAGTGGCTGTGTCTTACAGAACAAAACCTTACCCAGTCAGTTCTGCTGGTGTCATTTCTGGACTGACGAATCTCAAAGACAAGCAGGAGTTTTTAACATTTCAAAATGTGTCATTTTAACTTTGGTTATTGAAGGATTCTGATGTTTCAGTTCAGAATTAAACAGCTGAAGAATTTTTGGGGAGCAAAACCAAAGCAGAAGAAAAAGAACAATAATTTTGGGTTTAACTGTCAATAGACAAAATGTTTAGGTGGTCAAGACAGGGAAGAATCTGAAATATAGAAAATATTCTTGATTAAAACAATCTCCACAGCTGCATAATGGGCAGCTTTTTTCAAAGTGTTGGGCTGTGTGTCACAAGGCTGATATTGGGATGGTTTACTATGGATTCTCACAAGTATTCAGAGACTTGTGAATGTGTGTGGACACTGCATGCTCTGGTGTGTATTCTTGCCTATGGTTGGATGTAGGAGTTGGTGGCAAATGGATGTGCTGTCAGGGCTGCAGAATCTTCTTTAAATAATAATAATCCACCTACTTTGCATATTTTCAATTTTGTCTTTCCATACCTAATTTTGCATGGGTGGGGGGGGCTTGTTTATTTTTGGTGTTTTTTCTTTGTAGCCTCAAGCAGTGGTCCAAGAGGGAGAGTCTCAGGAAGGAAATCCTCTGGAAAGCAGTGACTTGAATTTGAACTCGGCACCAGCCACACAAGGTTTGAAATTAGATAATCATAATTACATGGGACTAAACAGTAGAGCCACACTCTGGCAAACCATGCACTTACCCACAAAGCTCTGGCTGTAGTCTTCCTGGTAAATCCTATAAACAGAGGAGCATTTGGAAGGCTTCCAGGCACATTCCTTCCATCTAATTCAGTTGTTACTAATTCAGCAGAAGTGGAGGTAGAAAAAAAGGAGGGGAAGAAAATCTGTCTTTCCAAGAAGTCACATATCTGAGGTTCTGATCACTGCTACCGGTACAGCTCAGTGAAATTGTCTGGCTGGTGTGGAAAAAGTGAAAATAGTCTATTGTAAATGTCCTGCTTTACTTGAGAAACTTTATGAATAGAAGATCCCTTGGTATTTGGGACATTTTAGTACTCTGAATTAACTCCAGAATGCTTCCTGGATGTTCTTCCTCTCTCCTTCCTGGCTTGTACTGTAAGGCAGAACTCTCTTGCAGTGGCTGGCACTGGCAGAGGTGCCTCAGCAGCACAGACATTGATGGCACTGGCCAGTTTCTGTGGAAGGCTCCAATGTATTTAAGGTTGTCTGAGATGAGATGCCAGATAACAATTATTGCTGTTGTAGGAATGTACAATATTCTGTACATTGCATCTGTAGATGCAATACACAGAGCCCCAACCTTACCTGAACCCTGCAAAAATACAAAATCTGACTCTATACCATTCAGAACTGCTTCTGAGGTAGATTCCAGGAAAACTTGTGTGCATCTGTGTCCTACCTTCAGAGAGCCTTGTAGGAAGCTCTTCATGAAATGTTTTCCCTGGGGGGAGAAGGGGCCAGGAGCCCAGGGGAGGCAGATGTTGCCTGGTTTGCCATGTGGCAGCACAGCTGCTCCCTCCTGCCTTTGGTGTGCAGCCCAGCCCGGTTCTTAGAAAGTCCCTGGAAATGCCACATGCTGAAATGCCAGAGGAGTTAACCTCAGTTGCTCAATTCAGTTTCCTCTGGGGCTGCTGCTCCCATATCGCTTCCTGCCACGGAGCCGAGCGCTGACATCAGCGGAGCCGCAGGCTCAGGGGGATGAGCTCACCTCAGGCCCGGCCCCGCCGCCTCCGGGACAGTGAAACATCGCCCCAAACCACAGCCAGTGGGGCCTTTCCTCCTCCTTTCAGCGTGAGCGGGGCCCGCGGCAGTGGCAGGAGAATCCGTTTCCCTCCTGTGGCACGGAGGCAGCAGCAGCTGGGACAGGAGCAGCGGATGCTGCGGTCGCTGGAGGGGCCGTGCAGAGATGATAGTGCAGCCCCAGCCGACAGGGGACTTCTGCTCTTGGGGAGCGTCTGCACTTCTGTGAGAACAAAAAACGGCCAGGAAATCACTGGGGATAAGCATGTACAGTGTGAAACCAGGCGATCCTCTGGAAAAGGTCTTAAGTTGTTATTTGCTTAGGAGCTTGAGATGGAGTGGTAATCCTGGCTTAAAACTTCTGACTGGAAAGGAGAATGCTGTTCTGGCTTACTGGAAACTGTAGATCCTGGGGCTTGTGTGCAAGCACAGTGCAGCTGTAGCAGCAGCTTGCAGACAGGTAGCTTCTGGATTAACCCATTCTGTGGGTCTGGTTTAACTGGGGTATTATATGTCTGCAAGATTTTGTGCTACTCATGCAGGAGGCTACTGCTCTGAGACTTGTTAGCAGGAGTCTGTGATCACATCATGATCTGCTATAGACACAGCCAGAGCTTTGGCCATTGAGGGCTTTGGTATTTTTTTTTTCACTTCCAGGTAAGGATTTTTGAGGTGCTGCACCAGGGAGGGGATGGGAGGGTACAAGTGCTTGCCCATCCTGCAGGTTGTACACTGCACAAAACTCTGAATGGAAAATGGATCTGCCTGGACTTTGTGTCTGCAGCATTCATCTGAATTGCTGAAATAAACACTGACTGTCTCTCAGTCTGTTACGGAGAAAATCATGATATGCAGCAAGAGCTGCATTAGAAATACTCAAGATTTGCAAGCCTCCAGTGGGGCAGAGAGCTGCTTTAAAGCCAGCTGGTTTTTATTCTGTGGCCTTTGCCTGGGGATCTAGCTCTGCTTTTCCCAAGGCACTGGTTATGGGCGACTCCAGGTTATCCAAGAGCAGGCACGAGTTTGTTCATGGATCAGGCTCAGTTGTGTGTTGCCACCTGTAGATGCCAATCACAACTCCAGCATAAACATTTCTGGTTTTCTGGGTCAAGAAGCATTTGGGTTTTTTTCTGTGAGTACCATTACTGAAGGATTGATGAATCTCATTTCATAGGCTCCTAAGCCACAGTGGCAGATGTGGTTTGTCTGAATAACTGTTCTTGGCTAATGGACTGTAGGTGTGAGGGAGAAAAGAGGTTGCTTTATGGTAGAATTTCCAGGAGCCAGTGCAAAGCCCAGAAGCAGCCTTGGGATCTTGCTCTTTTTTGTATATTTTGCTATCCTTGCTTTCTTTTTCATACAAGCTTTGTCTACTTTGTTTCCTCTGCTGCCCCAATGGTCACCTCAGCTCTCCTGAAAGCCAGGGGTCAGGCACAGATCACAGCAAGCCTGTGTAGCCAGAAACATTCCCCACTCACACAATTTTCAGACATTCTGCACATCTACTTCCCTGGTGTTTAATATTGGGTAGGGCACTTGGGTACTTGGTGTCTCATGAAGATTCAAGGAAATACAGAATCGCTGTCAGCAGAGGTGGTTGATGAGTGTTTGAAGAGCAGAAACCAGACAATTTGACACAGACTGTCACTTCTGGGCCTTCAGTAGCCTCATGCTGAGCCCTGCTGCCAGGGAAGCCATTTGTGTCAGGAGCTCCATTTAGCCTGGAGCTGGTACAAGAGCAATGGGAATGTTGTTGTGAAGACCTTTGGTTGTTGGGGAGTGGATCCTTGTTACCTCTCAGCCTTGTAAGAGGTACTGGGCAGCAGGGCTCCTGGACTCAAAGCTCTAACCCTGTGTCTCCTGTGATCTTTCCTTTAGACATCACTGGAAAAGACGGCTCCAGGTCTGGCAAAACCACTGGTCTTAGGAGATGTCTGAGTAACATCCCTGCTGCAGCTCAGTAGTGTCCCACCTGTTTGTGTCTTGCTGAAGCCAGAGGAGTGGAAAGCAAACAGGACTTTTAATGTTGTATTTCACATTCTTCATTTGTGATAATTTTAGCCAAGCTCTCTCCTGTTGCCTGTGGACTTGCTTACCCCAAACATCCAAACAAGGATTTAGGGGAAGAAATGGCATTTTGCCTTGTTGGAGAGATGCCTTTTAGAGTTTGTAGTATATCTTCTGTGAGTATAATAATTTCTCTTTAAAATACTTGGATAACCTAGTGCCTTGCCCTGCCACGGAGAGCAGTACTTCAACAGAAGTTGACTCAGCAATACAGATACAGGAAAGGAAATCTATTTACACAGCTAATGGCTGAGCTTGTCTGCCATATCACCTCTGGCAGGCTGATGGAGCAGTGCCAGGAGTTAAGTTTTGCTGTGTTGCCCATAGGGACTGTATCTGAAAGACAGCCTTTGAGTCCTTCCTTGACTATTTCAGAACAAAAACCCTCATGGCATTTCCAGCTTGCCCTGCACTGCTGTTCCAGTGGCCAGTAACTTGCATGCTTTAGAGGAAAGTTTGCACCCTGATGTCTTAGGGATTGATTCTGAAATGTTTATCTTAATGTGATCAGCTCAGGGCCTTCTCCTATAACTTCTTCTGGCCTGGTGCTCTCCCCCCGAGTTTGATAGCAGCTCCAAGTGCACAGTGCTTACAAGCTTAGTCACAGCCACTGGATTTCATCTCTTCAAAGGAGTGTCTGTAAAGAGCCAGTTAAAAAGTTGCTTCCTTGCAGAGCCTCAGGATTCAATTGAAATTAGTTTAAATTCAGTCCCTAACATGCGTGTGTGGGGTCCTCTAGTGTCCCAACTATGCAAATAAAAGCTGCTGATAGTTCAGTTTTGGGAGACAGCAGTAGCCAGTTGGTTTGAGATTGTTGCTGGCTGCTCTCAGTTTCACACTGTTTGAAGATTTGTGCTTTTGGTGTCAGAGCTGTTAAATTCTGAGGAATTGAGGGTATTTCCAATATCCAGTTGCAAATAGTGAAATCCCGGTGGTGTTTTCCATCTCCTGGATGTTCTGCCTGTCTATTAAAGGGACAAAGTGGGTATTTCAATTATCTCTGACAGGATGTAAAATTGGCTAGCTTTACAGTGTTAAATATTTAAACAGAACATAATTGGCTTTAAATTTATGGTGGTGCATAGCAGAAGCCCATGAAATGGCTGTATATATTGAACTCATTTATTATCTTTTCATCAGAGTTCTGTTCCCTTGGCAAGTATTTATTTAACACCAGAAAATGTATGCAGAATTAAGAAGGGCTGATTGGAGAGATAATAGGGGGGAAAGTGGGTTTTTTTTCCTTTTGGGTAATTTTGTCCAGTCCATCTAGTTTAGTACTGATAGGTCCTGATCCCATTAATTCTGCTTAGTAGTGATGAGAGTCCTAGTCCTAATTTTGTGTGGTATCTGCTTTGCCCTAAGGGTATTCTCTTGTCTATGGAGCTTGGTGGTCACAGCACAAAACTGCATCACAGATAATCTTTGTGCCTCCACTACCAAATAGCAGAGAAATCCAGGACTAAATGGATTAGATCACAGGGACTGACCTAAATCCTGTGCTATAGGATGAGCTGTGCTGCCAGATACCAGGAGTTTGACCCCCAGCTCCTGCTGTGGGGATAACTCTGGGTGGGACATGATACAAGTGAATCTGTACTGTTGATGGGGACATGAGAAGGTGCAGCTCCCCTGAATTCTGCTGCTCTTCAGTGCACTCCCAAGTTCAGCTGCAGTTCATATCTGCATTCAAAGGCTACTCCAGTAGCAGCCCAATATATTTTACCAACTTCTGTGCCTGATTTTCACTTGAATTGGCAGGTTCAGTACTCTGTTTGCAGGCTGTACTGCCTGTTTAATTAACCCCTGCTACCTGAGAGCAGTAGCTGTTGCAGTGTGAGACTGTAACTTCAGCTTCTAAATGGATTAGGGATTACATCTGCAAGAGACTCAAGCTTTTCCTGTGACATCAGTCAGTCCTTTCTCAGCTGGTGGCATGGAATAGGGGTGCACACTGCCTTGGCTAGATAGTAAATCCATCTGCTTTAGGTCAGCAGTATTCCTCTGGGAAGTGCATGCAAAGTACTTCTTAAAATTAAAAAAAAAAAATTAAAAATCTAGTCTTTGCTGCCTCTTACCAGTCTGCTGAAAAACCCCAGAAAAGAACTTGTTTCCATAAAAATGCGAGTGCTGGAGGAGAACAGAATTCCACTCTTTTAGCAGCTCTTCTGTGTGTAGTTGAAACCCCAGTTCATAACTTCAGTTTCCATTAAAATGGAAGTTAATGCCTATGAAAGGTGGACAGAATTCCAGACATCTTCAGGGAGCTGGGATTTCACGCTGGATCACTTGGATTGTCTTTTTTGAAATGATAAATGTTTTTATTTCCCAATTAGTTAATTACCTTTTCTCTGTAGACAAAGCTACCTCTAAGCAAGTGCATGTCAAGTGTTTTTAAGCTCAGGCAGTTTTGGTCTGACTTGGCCAAAAATAAGAGGTCATTACAGTTGGTTAAACCACAGGAAGTAACTGAGGTTTGTTGTCTAGCAAAGTTTGGAAGTTTCCCATAAATGGTTTTGGTGAAGGCATAGAGAGTGTTGGCAACTTGCAAATTAGCCTTGGAGTGTGTTAAATAAAGGTCTTAAACAAATGCTCCTCAGGCTCCTGCTTTGCCTCCTCCTTGTGCAGCACCTTCAGCACACACATGGCTGGATAAGGTGAGTGTCTCTTGACCTGGACTTCTGGGGATTATAAACAAAAATTTGGTCGTTCAGGAGCAGCCCCAGATTGATGTGAAAACAAGAAATAATGAGCATGAGGAATCACACATGGAGAAAATCAGCCTCCTCAGCCAAAATGTGGGGGCCTAATTCCATCCTTTTGTGTGTCTTGGAGGCTTGATTGGAACACAAGCCAGTTCTGCTTCACATGTACACCCAGAAGTCTCCACAGTCAAGTCTGTTTCCCCCCACATGGTTCTGTGGGCTATACAGCTATTTAGCTTTAAATACAATTAATTCTCTGCCTGTGCACTGCCTCTTGAGTTCATCTGACAGCTTTCCTAACTAGTCCCAAGCTTTGGGGCTGTAGGCCAGATGAGGCAGGAGCAAATCTGAAATATATCAGCAATGTCATCATGTTGTTCCCCTCGGTGTGGGCAGAGCTGCAGGTGAGCTGATGAACCCCTGGTTTGTACAGGAATTCATCTTAAGGGTAAGTTGGGATTTCTTTTTGGGCTCTGGATGCCCAGGACTGGCAGTGGGAAGCTCCTGCCTTCTCCAGCAAGCCTTTCTGAAGCGATATGAGTTTCTGTGCTGTAGAACACTAAACTTTGACCCCCACAGAGCTTCCCTTTCCAAGTTTTTCACATTAAGTTCAGTTTTTGAAAGAGCAGGGGAATTCACTGCACACAAATTACCAGCAGATACTGGGGTAACACTCCAGCAGTTCCTGTGGGAAATTGCAAATGACAGGGGAAAAAGACAATCACACTAGACTTTCATGTAAATAGTTTAATTATATTTCAATGCATTAAAACACAGAAACACTTGAATTAAATTACATCATAATGCTTCTGCTAAATTATACATCCAAGAACTGTGAGAGGAGGCGCTATGGAACTAAAAGAATATGAGCCCAGCAATTACCCATAATATTCTTTTAGTCTTATTATCTGTACTTCTTTACTCTTAAGGGCAGTCATCACAGGACAAAGCCTACCATCACAGGGAGAGAGGTTCAAGACAAGTCCTGTGTAGGTGTGTTTGTTGTTGCACTGCAGCACACAGAACTGGGAGAAGGGCACACACTGGGCTGAGGCATTAAGGAAACAGCTCAGCTCACACTTGCTTTTTGTTGACTTTAAAACAACCATTCAAATTCCAGTCCTAAGAGTTCTGGGGAAAATGCTGCAATTTAAGACAGCTGGTCACCCGTACTGCCACGTGCTTCCCTGTGCTGCTGCAGGGCCTGGAAGGGGGGACAGGCAAGAAGGGAGAAATCAGCTGTGGCTGCTCTCAGTGAGCACTTGCAGGAGCTGGTAAGTGTGTGTCTGTGTTGGGAGGTATTTGTCTCTAGGCTGATGGCTGGGAATAGCCACAGACAGACTCCAAACGCTAAGGACCTAATCTGCATTACACTGAGTGTTTGTACCCATGCACCTTCCTTCCAGCAGCATCCCCGGGGGCAAACAGCAGCAGCCTGGGAGTGCCTCCTGCCACATCTCCTGGCAACGAGGACTGGGCTGTTTTTCACACCCCAACCCCTAAAATACCCCCAGAAATCCCTAGATCTAAAAAGACAGCTGGATACTGAAAAACTAAAGCAATTTAGCCCTGCAAAGCTGCCCTGAGGGAAGCTGGAAGAGGGAAGGCTGGTAAGGAGCTGTACCCTGCAGGGGTCAGGGGCACAGGCCCAGGAAAGAGTCTGCATTTAATGAATATGGGAAAAACAATCACACAGGGGAAGAACAAAAACTAACTGGCAAGTCCAAACTTGTAACAAAGCACATGGTACCCGAATTACCACTCTGAAACAACTCCTTGCATAAAGCTTTAGATCTGCATTCAAATTTTGGCTTGCCCTGATTCCCTTTTAACTGGTGCTGTGGATGGAATAAAATCTGATTGACAATGCCTGTAACCACACAAAGATCAGGAGGTGATCAGGGCACAGCTGGGCACTGATGCTGCTCCCTGGCTGCTCTGCAGCACTTGGGGCCAGTGCCCACCAAAAGGCTTTCAGCCAACAGACCCCCACACTGCTCTGCCACATGCCAAGGTGGCCAGAGACCCCTTGGCACTCTATTCCTCCTGCAGCCCTGAAGGATGCACAGGCAGAGATGCTTCAGGGCTACAGGGAAACCCCTGGCTTACCTGTCTAGTCCCACCTACCTGTTCCTAGCAGGTAACTCGAGCAGAGGCTAAGGCAAAGCTCTGTGTTCCCTTCAGCAGGAAGAAGAGAAGGCTCTGACTGCAGGTCCTGGCAGGTAAGGAAGTACAAACCAGCTGTTAGTCATCTCTGGGGGCAAACACTGGGTTGTTGAGCC